TGATTCACTTGATCTGCAGTTTAAAACCACCAGCAACTCTGCGGGAGGAAGACAGGGCTTTCCATGTCTGTAACATTCCACAGGGGTCGCTATGAGTCAGTATTGACTTGATGGTTTTGATAGGGAAGGAATGTTCCGTAAGCAAGATAAACAAAGGCTTACTTGTGATTACTTACTAATCTGGAGTGAACAGTATTCTTTTTTCCATCATTCAAAGTAGCTTTTTATACATTTCCGGAACTTTATTGGTAAAGCACATCACATAGCATGGCTAATTTAAGTGACTGGGGAAACGCAATCTGCTTAAGTTCTTAGGGGTTTCCAGGCTGTGAAGTTTCAGAAGCATATTACCCAGCCTGTGTTGGGAGGCTGGTAGCTTTAAGCTGCCAACTTTTGGTTAGCAGTCAAAGGTGTAGCTTTTTGTGAGACCCAGACTCTTCACCAATGTCATGTCTAGGAGTGTCTTTACATGGTGGAGAAAAGAGATCATCAAGGGTCATTGGTGGTGGCCTCAGCAGCCCTGTTTTAGATGCTGGTCACCATCAGGTTTCTCAATATCCTTATGAATCTCTGATGCCTCCCAAAACCCCAGTTCCTAAAGGTTTTGCAAATAGATAAATGGAGAAAAATCAAGAGAGAAAAAAAATGCAGGAAATTTATGGTCTTAAATTTATGTTAAGCCCATGTATTAGTCTAGGTACTTTAGCGAAACAAATCCACAGCAACTCATGTATAAGAGAGTTTTATGTAAAGAAAGTGTGTATCACGAAAACATCCCAACCCTATGCTGCCCAAGCCCACAAGTCCAACATTAACCCATTAACCCAACACCAGTCCACAAAGTCCTCCACCTCACAAAACAGAGGCAATGATGCCAACTGCAGGAGGAAAGCTGAGTCAGTGAACGAATAAGCATCTCAGCACTAGCAGGGATCTCCACACGGCTGCTCCAGCACCCAGGGCTGCATCGGGATAGGTCCTTGTTGCTTCTCCTTGGGGATGTCTTGCAGGAAGCCAATCTTGCAAGCTGAAGCAGGGAACTACTAAGGCAGCTGCACCTTGGTGCAACCATCACAAAACAAGAGACCTGAGAACTAGAAAGGCGAGGCTCACCACCCATTTATCCCTCTGCCTTTCAATTAGCCCCACATGTGATTATCGGCCAGCTTGGCACAGTAACTATTTTTTTAATCATTTTATTAGGGGCTCATACAACTCCCATCACAATCCACACACACATCAACTGTGCAAAGCGCACCTGCACACTCATTGCCCTCATCACTCCCAAAACACCACAATTAACTAACTCAGCACATACTTTAAATAGGTTTTAAAAACTTGGAAATATTCACAAATTATCCTGGGAATTAAAAAGAAAACACTACATCTAGGTTGGTATGTAATTTTACATAAGAGTGATTCTCACTGAAACATTGTCAAACATGCAGACAGTTATGAATATTTGCAGCAACATTCTGAGTCTTTATTTGTATTTAGATTCTTCCTTAGGTATGAACCCCAATTTATGATAACGTCACTTTGAAGGATGGCATTTCTCCTCATAGGGCTTCTGTCTATGTCGAATGGCTCAATTTCTGGAAGACTGATCACAGTGTCTATTAAGCCTTCAAAAATACATAGAATTTGCCTAGATGCTTGAGGGTGGGGGTGGGGAGGTCTCATACGGGGTGACAGGTGGATTTGATTCATGTTGTTGTTGTTAGGTGCTTTGACTTGGTTTCCACTCATAGGGACCCTATGTACAATGAACTAAACACTCCCTGGTCTTGTGTATTCCTCATAATTGTTATGTTTGAGCCAGTGTTGCAGCTCCTGTGTCAATCCATCTAGTTGAGGGCTTTCCTCTTTTTCACTGATCTACTTTACCAAACATGATGCCCTTTTTCAGGGCCTGGTCTCTCCTGATAACATGTCCAAAGCATATGAAACAAAGTCTTGTCCTCCTTACCTCAAAGGAACATTCTGACTATACTTATTCCAACACAGGTTTGTTTTTTCTTTTGGCAGAACTTTCAATATTCCTTGCCAACACCATAATTCAAATGCATTAATTCCCTGTTGGCATTGTCCAAGTTGACATGCACATGAGCCAATTGAAAATATCATGACTTAGATCAGGAACATCTTAGTCCTCAAAGTGAGATCCTCGGTCTTCAGCATTTTATAAAGATGCATTGTGCAGCACATTAACCCAATGTCATACATCCTTTGATTTTTTGACTGCTGCTTCCATCAGCATTGATTGTAGATCCAAGCAAGATGGAATCCTTGACAACTTCCATCTTTTCTCCATTTATCATGATGTTACCTACTGGTTCAGTTGTGAGGATTCTTGTGTTCTTCACATTGAGTTGTAACCCATACTGAAGGCTAAAATCTTTGATCTGAATCAGCAAGTGCTTCAAGTCCGTCTCACTTTCAGCAAGGAACGCTGTGTTATCTACATGTCACAAGTTGTTAATAAGCTCCCCACCAATCCAGATGCTATGTTCTTCTTCATAGTTCAGCTTCATGGAATATTTGCTCAACATACAGATCAAGTAAGTATAGTGAGAGGATACAACCCTGACACACAGCTTTCCAGATTTTAAGCCATGTAGTATTATTTCCTTATTCTGTTTTAGGACTGCCTCTTGGTCCATGTACAGGCTCTGTATGAGCACAATTAAGTGTTCTGGATTTTCCATTCTTCTCAAGGCTATCCATAGTTTGTTATGACTCACACAGTAGGAAAATTTTGCATAGTCAATAAAACACAAACAAACATCTTTTTGGTAGTCTTGTGTCAGCAATGATATCCCTTGTTCCTTGCTTTCTTCTGAATCCAGCTTCAATTTCTGGCAGCTTCTTGTGAGTGCACTGCTATAACCATTGTTGAATTATTGTCAGGGAAATTTTATTGCATGTGATATTAATTATCACACTCTGTTGGTTACTTTGATTCAGAACGGGCACAAATACGGATCTCTTCCAGGCTGCTGTTCAGGAAGGCTGTCTTCCAGTTTTCTTGGCATAAATGAGTGAGTGCTTCCAGTGTTTCATTAACTTGATGAAATATTTTACTTGGTATTCTGTCAAGTCTGAGAGCCTTGTTTTTCACTAATGCCTTTAGTGCAGCTTACGATTCTTTTTGCATTGGTTCTTGTTCATATGCTATGTGTTAATCTGGGTAGACTAGAGAAACAAATTCATAGATACTCATATGTGTATAGGAAAGAGCTTTATGTACAAGAGCAATTGAATATTGAGAAAACATCCCAGTGCAGTCCAGATCAAGTCCATAAGTCTGATATTAGCCCATATGTCTGACACAAATCTATAAATTACTCTTCAGACTATTGAAACACATGCAATTATGCCAAATGCAGGAAGATCACAGGCTAGTGGGTGGGAAGTCTTGTGGATCCAGTGG